TAATTTAACTATTATTACACAAATAACTCTCTAGACTACAACGCCGAATGAGATCGTACTGGTTCTGCGCTGCGTCACGCGCTGCGCAGCTACCCTTATTGAAAACGGTAATATTTTATAGTTGTCTGAGTCCATTTGTTAATAATCTTCATGCATTTCTAACATCAGAATATTATTACTAAATTTTAACACAGAAGAATCCAAAGGCCACAACAAATGTACTGAACATTTCGAAAATATCGATCATAAGGCAAAATACTTCAATCAAGAAATAAATTACATGAAAAATTGCTTCGGTTGTGTGATAAATATGATAAAATGTCTTGAGGAAAGAGTTCAAAATCTCGAAACAAGGAATTCTCATCAAATTGTTGACACTTCTGTCCAGTTAGATAGTTTTGATCCAAATAATCCTGATGAATTTATCGACATGCTATTAGGGATTGATGAAAGAATTCAAAACCTCGAGTGTTCAAATCTTCAAGATTAAGAATCTTGAAACTCCATAAATTTTTTTCTTTCTAAATTTAAAATTACTTTATATGTCGTGCATCAGATTAAATTTACGCCCAAATCAAAATTTAAATGGAAGTTTTATTAGTAGTAGGGTGTGTGCCTATGTTGGATATTATAATGATTTTAATCTAAATATACAATTATTTATGTATATTTATATATATACACTTACAAATGGTGCATACTTTCAGGTGGGCAAACAAGGTTTATAATTTTGTTCTTCAAATCTCAAGCGCCTTAATTAATGAGTCAATGTGTGTGGGAAAGGGAATTAAATTTTAATTAGCGGAAAGTATCTTTAATTAATCAAACGTGTTTGTTATTAAGATGAATAAGTAAAGGGCACGTGGTTTACTTAAAGAAAAATTTAAATAATGAAAATAGTTAGTGAGCTTATCAAAAATTTTTTTTCCAGAATTACTTTTTTTTTGCACCAATTTATTAAAACTTTATAACTATTAAAGTAAATAGAGTTACTATTCAAGCGTTTTCATACTTTTTATCAATCATGATCTTTGTTATTAACACACTAGCGTATTGCTGCTATGATGTTTTGTTTATTGGTTGTGGTGCTCTGGTTAGAGTAGATTAGTTGGTTTTAGTAGTGTATAGTTGTATTATCTAGACCCAGTAGATATTTTACTCTTTACAACGTACCATCATAATAACTAATCTAAACATATGGATTAATGATTAATGCATAAATTTACATTAGTAATCAATATACTGTACTATGAACAAATTAACTGTATATGAAGTAAAATTTTGTAAGGAATTTCTTTTGTCAAGATACTTAGAGTGACTTTATATGATTTGTACCATTTCATGTATACCATACTAGAGTTAATACCTGGATCCGGATTTAATTATATATATCTGGATTTAATTGTTAGATCCGGATTTAATTGT